TATATACCCAGGCTTTACCCAGTAATTATATGTCGTAGGCACTTAATAAATTCTAAATAACTGGACTGAGTAATTAATGCCTAGACTAGAATCAAGTTCAGGGAGGGATTTTGATTAGATAGGCTTTTTTTTTTTTCCTTTGGTTAAGACTGAACCTAGTAGGGATTGAAATGACTTCTCCTTTGTTCAGTGTTGACCATATTGAAAGTACATGGTTTAGGTCACAGTTTCAACAGGAAATTAACTGTCTCTTATTTCTCTCTAGCAATACTTTAAGATAATTATTTAATTGTGACACAGTTTTGCCTCTACCACCAAAAAAATGCAGAGTACTGAGTTTTTTTTCTACTGTAGTAATAAAAAAAGAAATTCAATCATTGGGTAACTGTTTACCCTGGGACTAATTATGCATATATAGCACTGTCTCTAAGTAATAGGGGCAGTATATAACTATCTTTTGTGATGGTTGTAAATGCCTTAGAAATTTAGAATGAATGAATTGAGGAACATTTATTAAGTACGTATATACACCAAGTATTGTACAAAGTACTGGGGGTCCACAATAAAATTTTTAAAAAATCCTTGTCCTCAAGAAGCTTATATTCTAATAGGGAGAGAGAACACATAATAGGGAATAATGGCCAGAGAGAGGATATTTTGGTTTGGAGACTTAAGAGGGCTGATGAATAGAAGCCATAGGGTACAGATTGTAATTTTGTACCATCCTGTCTTCACTAACTAACCCCCTCCACCACACTGACTCACTTTTTAAAAAAATTTTAATTTATTTAAATTTTAATTAATTTGTTTGTTTTTAGTTTTCAACATTCACTTTCAAAAGATTTTGAGTTCCAAATTTTCTCCCCATCTTGTCCCCCCCCCCACCCCAAGATGGCATGCATTCTGAATACCCCTTCTCCTAATCTGCCCTCCCTTCTATCTCTCCCCCCCTTCTCTTATCCCCTTCCCCTTCAATTTTCCTATAGGACTGGATAGATTTCTATACCCCATTTCCTGTATATCTTATTTCCCAGTTGCATGTGAAAACAATTTTTTAAACATTTGTTTTTAAAACTGGGTTCCAAATTTTCTCCCTCCCTCCTTCCCCATCCACCCTCATTGAGAAGGTAAGCAACTGGATACAGGTTATACATGTGTCCAACTCACTTTTCTTCAATCTCTCCTGGTCTACTGACTGCTTTCCTACTGTCTACAAACTTGCCTGTCTTCATGGTTTTGATTCTCAAAAAACCCTCATTTGCTCTGTTCATCCCTAATAGCTTTCTATAGTCTCACTTCCAACTTCATCAACCAAAATTTCTCTCCTTATAGTTGCCAGTGATATCATAATTCCCAAATCTAATGACCTTTTTTTTTTATTTCCAAATCATCCTTTTTGACCTCTCTGAAGCAGTTGATGACCCTGTTCTCCTTGATACCTTCTCTTGATGACCCTGTTCTCCTTGATACTTTCTCTTAAGGTTTCTCTGACATTACTCTTTCTTGGTTCTCCTCCCCATCTGATTGCTCCTTAGTCTCATTTGTTACATCTTCATCTTGGTCAGTCCCACTAAAGGTAGGTTTCCCCCCCAAGGCTCTGTCCTGGACCCTCTTTTCTTTCTCCTCTATATTATTTTACTTGGTGATTTTATCAGCTTCCATGGTTTCAGTTAGCTGCATGTTGCTGATTTTCAGATCTACATATCCATCCCTAATCTCTCTCTTAACTTCTATACTTGAATCTTCAAAATGCCTATTAGGCCTTTCAATCGATAACCCATAGGCATCTTAAACTCAACATGTCTAAAGCAACTAATTATCTTTTCCCCCAAATCCTCCCCCTTTCCAAACTTCCCTGATGCTGCTGAGGGTACCACCAGCCTTTCAGTTCACCCTCATAACCTAGGTGTTGTCTTTGACTCTTCACTCTCACCCTTCCCCTCCCCTGTATCCAATCTGTTGCCAAAACCTGTAGGTTTTACCTTTGTAACATTTCTCCTGTGCCCACTTCTCACTGACACTGACATCATTCTGTGGGTGTGTTCAGGGAGGATTAGTACCTCTGGTGTGAAGGCTATTGAGCTCTTTCCAGGGCTGCTTTTTAGCATGATGTTTTCAGCCGCGTTGTCAAATGCTTTCAATGAGAATGAACCTTTTATCAAGGTCAGTTACTGCACTAATGGTGAATTCTTCAACTTCTTCAACAAAGGCTACAAGCCAGCACCAAAGTGGAGGGAGGGTTGGTGCATGATTTTCTGTTTGCAGATGATTGTGCACTCAATGCAGCCTCTGAAGCTGAGATGCAAGGAGTATGAATCAATTCTCTGCTGCTTGTGCTAATTTTGGCCTAACACCACCAAGAAAATAGGTGCTCCATCAGCCACCACTACACCATCCTTATGTGGAACTATCGGTTACGGCAGATGGAGGAGTTTTGAGTGCTGTGGATAAGTTCAGTTACCTTGGTAGTGTACTTTCCAGGGATGTACACATTGATAACAAGATTGACACAGGCATTGCCAGAGCTAGCTAGGTCAATGTTTGGGAGATTCTGAAGGAAAGTATGGGAGAGAAGAGGAAGACCAAACCGAAGGTCTACAGAGCCATTGTGCTGACCTCATTGTTGTATGCCTATGAAACTTGAACAGGATACCAACGCCATGCCAGGAAACTGAATTGCTTCCATTTGAATTTTCTTAGGAAGATTCTGAAGATCACCTGGCAGGATAAGATACCAGACCCCCAGTTCCTTTCTGGAACTAAACTGCCAAGCATTCAAACTCTGCTTCAGAGAATGCAATTCCAATGGGCTGGCTATTTGTTTGAATGCAAAACGTACACTTGCCAAAAAGACTATTTTATGGAGAGCTTACAAGGTGGTCAGGAGAAGTGATAAGAGGACACTCTCAAGGTCTCTCTTAAGAACTTTGGAATTGATTGTGTGACATGGGAGACACTGGTGTGCCGACATCAGAAGGTGCTGTACTCTGTGAGCAAAGTAGAATTGAAATAGCTTAAAAAACAAATAACAAATAAAAACAAAATAAATAAAAACATAAAAAACAAAAAACAAACTCGAGATCCACAAATTTAGAGAATCCACCCCAAATGTTCATGTGGACTATTTGTATCTGACCTGTGGTAGAACATTCCGAGCTCGTATTGGTCTGAGGAGCCGCAGTCAGACACACTGAAACTTGACGCTAGCATAGTGATGTCATTTTGGTCCTTTTGGAGAAAGAAGGACAACAGCCAATCAACCACCCAACCAACACTGTGCAGATGCTTCTCTCCTCAGACCTGGACTATTGCAGTAGCCTGTTGGTTGGTCTCCCTGCTTCAAGTCTCCCCACTGCTTTCTACCCTCCACTCCGCTGTCAGTGGTCTTCCTAAAGTGAAAATCTGACCATATCACACCCTTTCCCCCACTCAGTAAACTCCAGTGGCTCCTTATCCCCTCCATGATACAATCCTCTAGCCTTCAAAGACTTTTATACCTCCCCACCCCCTTTCCTCTTTCCTGTCACATCTTATTTCTCACTGGCTACTTTGGGATTCACTGACACCAGCCTCCTTGCTGTTATTGCACAACACACTCTATTACCTGAGTCCATTTTCAGTGGCTGTTCCCCACTCCTGGAATAATCTCCCTTATCTCTGCTTCCTTTGATTCCTTTCAAGTCTCAGATAAAATCCCAATATCTTCTGTCTATTGATTATCTCTGATTTATCCTGTATTTTGTTTGTACAGTTGTTCGAATATCACTCACCTATAAGCCTGAGTTCTTTGACAGCAGGGACTGCCTTTTGCCTTTCTTGTAACCCCAATGTTTAGCACAGAGCCTGTCACTTAGTAGGTGCTTAATAAATATTTATTGACTTTATATGTTGTAGTACATATTTGTTTACCTATCTCTCCCAACGCCAAGTTTTTGTTCATGCTGCTCCTCCGGCCTAGAATGCCCTTCTTTCACTCAGATTATCTCCGCTTTATTTCGCACAAATCTTATTTATACATAGCTGTTTGCATGTTGTCTCCCCTGCTCTTCGAAAGCAGGGACTATCTTTTTGCCTTTCTTTGTATGACCAGTGCTTAGCAGTCAAGTCGGTCCACAAGCCTATTTATTAAGCACTTAAGTAATGCCAGACGTCTTGCCAAAGCTGGGAGTGCAAGAACAAGGGCAGACTTCTTGAGGGAGCTTACATTGGGGGGATGGGGGGAATACACATAAAAGGAAAATGCAGGGGTGTGGGGATGGGTCTTGTGTATACATGTGCATACATGTGCAGCCTAGAGGGGCACGAGCCTTGGACGGCCTGGGGGGAGGGCTCTGAGAAGAGGGAGCCAGCAGATGAAGCCTGCAGCGCAGCAGCCCAAGACGAGTAAGACAGGGCAGGACTAGAAGCCCCCTTTGAACGAGCACCGCGCCTGGCACCCAGTAGGTGCTTAGTGTTTGCAGGAGTAAAATTTCCTATTTAAATCCTATTTCAAGGTGCAGCTCCGGCCTTAATTACGCTGGCATTTATTAAGCACCTACTGTCTGTGCGGTGGGCTCTTGGCACCCACCACATAGAAGGAACAGTCTCTGCCCTCAAGGAGCTTATGTATTCTATTAGGGGAAAACAACCGAAGAGCAAATGCGGGGGGGGGGGGGGGGGGGGGAAGGAAAGGCCCCACAACTCCAGCCTGGGAAAAGCGCAGGGTCTATTAAGAGAGGGGTGTGCATTGCCCCTGGGGAGGAGCCAATCTGGGCAGCCCTCGGAAACCCCTGAGGGGAGGGGGCAAAGCCTGGTGGGAGGCGGGGGAGGCACTCGAAGATACTAAGACGAGCTCGGCGCCCAGGCCCGACCGCGGGAAAGCCAAAAAGGGCGAGAGGGGTGGGGCCTCCACGCGGCCACACCAACGGGGAGCACGCAGGTCCCTCCCTTTTCTCTTCTCTCCCCGCCTCTTCCGGGCCTCCTCGCTGGGGGCGGGGCCATCTCGCTGCTTCCGGCCCCGGGCTCATGCGTGGTTCCCGCTCTCCCTGCGTGAGGCGCTTGCTGTCCCTCGTCCGTGGGCCCGCAGCCTTCCCTCCGGGTGCGGGGGCTTTTCCTCCATGGAATCGGTGTCGAAAGCCATGACCCGTAAGTGCAGGGCCGCGGCCCTCGGAGCCGGGCGGCTCTCGGGCGGCGGGAGCTCTCCAGCCGGGGCCGGGCTCAGGGCCAGGGGGCTGTCCCCGAGCCTGCCCCGGGGAGCCGGCCCGGGCCGCCCTCCCTGCCCCTTCGCCCGGCGACCTCGAGGCCCAGCGTACGTGAGAGAAAGCTCGGGACGTCGAGTCAAGAAGACCTGGGTTCAAATCCCGCTTCCGACACAGACCCCCCCAACCATGTGACCCTGGGCAGTTCACATACCTGCCCTGAGCCTCAGTTTCCCCATTTGTGAGAAATGAAGGGGTCGGGCTAAAGGATCACTAAGGTCCCGCCCGGCTCCTGAGCCGAGATTTACAGGGAATGTCAGTGGTGTGGGGAACCTAAGAGAAGTGTAAGAAAGGGCAATTGAGGCTCTGAAACCTGATCTCCACCTTCAGCAGGGGTTCTAATCCGGGGTCCGACCGTTTTCAAAAAAGCATTTGAAGAACTATCTCAGTATAATTGGTTTTCTTTGTCATTCTATGTATTCCGTTTTGTTCATTGGGAAGCATTCTGAGAAGGGTCGCAGAGGCATCACCAGACTGCCCGAGGGATCCGGGGCACCAAATGTTACATAGACATTTATATCTATCTATACATGTCTGTATGTATACAGATACCTACACACATAGGTTTAGAGATGGGGGAGGGGGCAGTCTGTAAAGGTTATCCAGGCCCACCACCTTGGGTTACGTGTAAGAAAGACCTGTCTGTGCTGGGCCACCTGCCAGGGGAGGGAGCTTGGCCAGGGCGCAGCAGACCTGAGCAGGAGAACCGGACCTTTAACCCAGGCCTCTCCCGCTTCAAACTCGGGGACATTTTCATCGTCCTCATTCCCTTTGGGGGATCTAAAATGTGGACGTGTTAACAGTGTTGCTGCTATTCACTGTTCAGAACACACAACTCCCCCAACATCTTTAGGGTGAAACAATAAATACATCCCAGGCTAGAAGGGCCAGGAGAGTGGAGAAGGATGAAGCAATTGTTGGGAGATTTTGAGGGTCTGGGGGGGTGGAAAATTAGTAAAGAGGAAAAAGGTAGGAAAATATAGCTCTTAAAAAATTTAGATTAAAATCCACATTAGAATAGAATGTAAGTAGCCCTTGCTATCTCGTCTTTGACCTATGTCAATGTGACTTGCACATAGGTTATTTATAAATATTTAACTTAATTGAAAACATCTGTGCAAAGAAAAAAGCGCAACCTGTTTACTTTCCTGAGTGATTGGCAAAATTGAAATTTCTCAAGTCAGCTGAAATTCTGAAACTAACATACAGTTTATGGTTATTAAGCTAATTTTTTTGCCTTTTGGTGAGGCAATTGTTAATGTCGTGTGTCTGAGTCTGAATTTGAACTCAGGTCCTCCCAGCTCCAAGGCAGGAGCTCTATCCACTGCACCACCTAGCTGTCAGTTAAGCTTTTCTTAATAATAGCTTAAGGGGCAGCTAGGTGGTGCAGTGGATAGAGCACCTGCCCTGGAGTCAGGAGGACCTGAGTTCAAGTCTGGTCTGAGACCAGACGTCACTTGCCACTTACTAGCTGTGTGACCCTGGGCAAGTCACTTAACCCCAATTGTCTCAAAAAATAAAAATAAAAATTAGTAATAGCTTAAGAGTCTACAGATTTTGTCATTTTGTGTATGGGGGAAAATACTGAAAAATTTGTTATTCTAAATATTTTCCTTTCATCTTGATGACTTCATATGTAACCCTTTATCCTAATTATTCATTGTTTTAAGCTGTTAATCAGTAACATTCCTGCCACTTCTGGACTTTGTGTTCTTTAGAAAATAATTGCATAACCTGTCTCACCACCCCCTCTACTCTCACCCCCAGACCTACCAATGGCCAGCTTACCTAAATTTTTCTTTGGTAGAGAATGGATTTATTGTCTGTACCCTGAAGCTGTGAGGAGCTTTGTGTCTGAGCTGTGCAATTTTGGAGGAAGCAACCAAGCTTATTTTTTCACTACCTTATTACCTTTCTTTAAGGCCAGGTGTTCTGTCTGTTATCTTTTATAGGTTTGTCTGAAGGATGCACTGGTAAATGTTTTACAACTGGGCTCCTCAGGAAAAAAAAAATTACATGCATACTCTTTTAAATTTAATCTACATTATTAACACTTAACAATCCACAAAAAAAAAATAAATCAGGCCCAAATTTGTTGATTTATGTGGTGCAGATGCTCACACTGAAAATTCAACATTCTCTGTAAGCTGGTTAGAGCTGGCTCCAGGCCACTCCTTGTTGGGCTAGATGGGTCTCTCAGTCTGTGATTCCTAAAGGCTGAGGTCTTCCTTTAACATGCAGCTCAAAGCTTCATGAGGTCTTTACTGATCCACCAACTGCTAGTGTCTATCCCAAACTACCTTGTATTTTTAATTACTCCTGCATATATTTGTATTTATTTACTTCATATTTATGCTTTATGTATTTATAAATATATTTGTGTATCTCCCCTATTAGAATGTAAACTCCTTGCAAGGAGTGATTGTTTCATTCTTTGAACTTGTATCTTCAGTACCTAGCACAGGACCTGCTACATAGTAGGCACTTAGTAAATAATTGTTGATTTATTTATTGAAGAGAAAAACTAAGAAATGAGTTTCTAGTTAAATTCAAACTGGGCTTTTGCTAAATCTTTTATAAGAGGCATTGTTGTATGGTGTTAAGACCTGGAGCTGGACTTTAGGAGATCTGGATGCTAGCCTTGGCTCTTCAGATGACTTAATTCTGAGTATTTTCCTGTCTGTAAGCTGACTTAGAGTCCGAGGGCCTGAATTCAAGTGATAGTCCTGCTCTTTACTACCTGTATGATTTGAAGCAAAAATATCTTTGACTTCATTTGTGCTTTTAAAAAAACCTTTATTTTATTTTTTTCACTGATGAATCTATTTTCTTTCCATTCTATCCCCCCCGTCGTTGAAAAATGAACAGAACAACAAAGCCCCTGTAATGTGTAGGCATAGTCAAAACAAATTCCTGAATTGGACATGTTCAAAAACATACTGCTTATTTGCACTTCTGTCAGGAGGTGGGTAGGATGCTTTATCATAAGTCAACTGGAATTATGGTTGGTCATTACACTGACCAGAGTTTTTAAGTCTTTCAGAATTGTTTGTCTTTACAATATCGTCATTGTGTTAATTCTTCTGAAGGTGAGATGAGATCTAGTTTTTGAACTTGGCTGACTGGAAAGATGGTTTTGTTCTCAATGGAAATAGGCAAGAAAAGAGTAGGGGGAGGGCTGTTTAGAGGGAAAAATACTAAGTTCTGTTTTGGACATGTTGAGTTTGAGATACCCATTGTGTAGGCAGCAGCAGGAAGCAGGAGATGCTGAACTGGGTGACAGTTAGTGTAGAAAAGAGGGCACAGGGCAGTGCTCTGGGGCCAGGGGATGGATCATCTAAAGTCAGTAGTCCATAATCAGACATTTATTAATGGTGCCAAGAATTGCACAGATAAAAAGAGACAAAAGACAGTCCGTGCCCTCCAGGAGCTTGCAATGATGAGAAGGATCATTACGACAAGTACAGTTTTAGAAAGGAATAACTTAGAATCTCAAGTGATCACAGTTTTTGACTTCACCCAAAGTCCCTTGGTAAGGGATGTCATGAAGGGAAAAGACCCAAAACAACCAAAAGCAAGAAGAAAGGACTCTTCAGTTGTTTTCAGAACCAGTTTTTGGTTTGCTAGCCCAAAACTATGTAATAAAATCTTAAATATGAGACTGGGACCTATAACTGTTTTCCTCTTACAATAAAAGTCATTAGTGTTCATGGGCAGCCTTCCCTAGTATTTACTCTCCTTTACTTGTGTTCTTAGAATTTCGTTTGGCCCTCATCCAGCTTCGTGTGTCTTCTGTCAAGTCAGATAACCTGACTCGAGCTGGTGAGTTTGTCAAGAAGGCAGCAAGCCAAGGAGCCAAAATTATAACTCTTCCTGTAAGTATAAAGGAAATATCTGTGAATTACACATCTAATAAAATTCTGATTTTTTTTATGCATTTCAGCTCTTGTCCTGGAGGCTCTAGGGGAAGAGTACCAGGATGTTATTTGGAGTGGATTCTGCTTATTCACCAGTATCATCACGTATCTTTAACAAGCAATCCACTTAAAATATTTTTTTATAAAATCTCATTGACTCCCTAGTGAACCAATCCAGTGGACTTTTTCTAGTTCTCACCATTCTTGACCACTGTGCATCTTTTGACACTGTTGGCTACCCCTTGACACAGATGATTTTTCTTTTTGCCAACACCACACTTTCTTAATTCTCTTTAACTTCCCTGTCTCTTCCTAGACCCTCAGTGTGGTGGTTCCCCAAAGGTTTATCCTTGTTCTTTACAATCTCTCCTTTGCTAATTATGTTTTTGTAGATTTAACCACCACTTTACCTCTGCCATTAACTCCCAAATCTTGGTTTTCAGTCCAAAGCTTTCCAGATAAGCATCTCCAGTTCCCCACAAACCTGTTTTTATTCCACCTCCTCCTCTAGACCTGGTTCAGCCAGTTTTCTCATCTCTCATCCCTCAAACTTCAGGTTTTGCTTTGATGCATCCCTATTTCATGTTTCTTATAACCAGTCAGTCACCAAGTGCTGATACTTCTGCCTCCCCACCTCCATTCTTTCTGAACTTTCCCTTCTGTTTCTGCTACCACAGTTGGTTTTTTTTGTTGTTTTTGTTATTTTTTGGTGAGGCAATCAGGGTTAAGTGACTTGCCCAGGGTCACACAGCTAATAAGTGTTAGGTGTTGGAGGTTGGATTTGAACTCAGGTCCTTCTGATTCCAAGACCAGAGCTGTATTCACTGCGCCACCTAGCTGCCCCCTGCTACCGTAGTTGTAAAGCAGGCCCTGCTTGCCACCTTTGATGTTGTTGTAACACCCTCAGAACAGGTCTTCCTATTTGTACCTTCCCTCCTATCGACTTCTCATGTTGGCAGGAGAATCTTTTCTTATGTGTACATTCTAGTTTCACCACTACTCTGTTCAAAGATCTTCCATGGCTCCCTTCTGTCTGCCAAGGAACTCTTTTTCTTGACATTTCTTGACATAAAATTATCCCTTTACGATAGGGAGCCATTTGCCTCTTTTCTAGTGCTCTCCTCCATGCACTTTGTGTTCCATCCAACCTATCTGTGTCTCTGTTGACAATCTTTCTTATTCCTCCTGCTCAACTCCAGTTGTTGAATTCCTATGCATCCTTTAATTCCAAGTCAAACAGACTTCAACAGACTTCCTCTATGTAGCCTTGGGTACCTTTTCTCCCTCTCTGGTGTTAATTATGACTTTTCACCCTTAGTCCTTAGATGAGCACTTTTCTATACCTCTTTGATGTGTTGATCATAAATTATTATAATTATAAACATCTGTATTGGTGTCATTTCCTTACTAGCCTGTAAGCTTCCTGAAGGCAGGAGCTGTCTTAGCTACACTGGCATCTGAATTATTTGCAATGAAGTAAGGCAAAAAGTCAAGTCAGCAAACCTTTATTATGCTCTTAAAATATGCCAGGCCTACGCTGTGTTAAATGCTGGACAAATATTAAATTTGTTCATTAATGTAACCTTACAACTTTTATGATTTTTTTTGTTTTGTTTTTTTGGGCTAGGCAATGGGTTTAAGTGACTTGCCCAGGATCACACAGCTAGTAAGTGTCAAGTGTCTGGGGCTGGATTTGAACTCGGGTCCTCCTGACTCCAGGGCCAGTGCTCAATCCACTGCACCACCTAGCTGTCCCAAACTTTTATATTTTTAAGAAATTTTAATACGCAATATGTCCTTTGGCAGCAATCACTTGCTTCACATGATTTGACATTGAGTTCACAAAATCTGATACGTGTTCTTTAATTCTTCACTGTAAACCTACACTTTTTTCATATTAGATATTAAGTGTACCTTTCCCAACCATTTTGTATTTTTGAAGGCTAACCCTTGCAGAACAAAAATTTTCAAAGAGTTTTAAGTCAGGAAAATTTCCAGGCCACTGAAGCATATTTGCCTCCATTTCTTTGGTGAATTTCTTATCCTTTTGTGATGTGTGGCATGATACAAAGTCATGGTTGTAGTAATTCATCTCCATTTGGAATTCTGTAATTCTACAACAAATCTGTTTCTCAGCAAAGCCGTGTCCAGTATCCCAAAAGACTTTGTGCAGTTTTAAGCTTTTTTACTGACTTTTGGAACAGTTTATCACTAATTCCTTCAAGAGAACAAAACTTTCAGGCCCACTGGAAGTAAAATAATTCCTCCAAACAGTTTTTTTGTGGGTATTTTACAGCCTCATGAAAGTGCCCATTTCTTACAGGTTCACTTGGACTTATTCTTTCAGTGATTTTGATATAGTCCTTGAATGAAAAAGGAAGTTTGATCAGTAAACTTTTTTTTTAATCTTTTTTTATTTTAGACTTGAATACTAAGATTTAAACACATAATAAGAAAAGAAAAAGAAACATACTATAAACTTAAATATTAAAACTTAGGAGCAGCTAGGGTGGTGCAATGGATAGAGCACCAGCCCTAGGGTCAGGAAGGCCTGAGTTCAAATCCAGCCTTAGACACATAATACTTCCTAGCTGTATGACTCTGGGCAAATCATTTAATCCCAATTGCCTCACAAAAAAAAAAATTTAAACTTAAAAATAAAGTAAAACAGAAAAAAAAAAACCATGTGCACAGCAGAACATAAGAGAGGATTCAAAATATATAGCACTAAATTTCCATTTCAAGGAAACCTATATAATAAATACATGTTGTGTTCAGTACTATCCATCTTTTCTTTGCTTCCTTCTAAATTTTTTTTTGTTCTCTGCTGTATACTTTTTACTTTGTTCATTTTCTCTCCTTCCTCTCCTCTCTTCCCCCAGGCTACAATTAAGCATGGATATATTTATATATAGATTATACACATACATACACACTTATATAAATATGTACTTTACCTAACAGATTCTATTCCTAATCTTTGTTTTTATATTTGTGTGTATCTCTTATTTCCTATTCTTCCTGACTTCTCTACTTCTACCCGATACTTTGCCCTCCTATTACTTAACCTATCCCCCTCCCTTATCCTCCCATTCCCATAAATCTAAACACCCTTTTGTACACCCCTTTGACCTATCCCCTCACCCTCCCCTCAAGAGATCCCTCCCTTGTCCTATCCCCCCTCTTTATCCCCTTAGTGTTTTATTTCTTTCTAAATTTAGAAGACAGTTATACTCTTTTCGATGTATGTGTTGTTCTCTCTTGAACCCATTCCCAATGAAAGTAGGTTTCCAGAACTAACAGCCCTCCTCCCACATCTAATTCCTCTGTATTGGTTCTTTCACTCACACCTCATTTGTATAAGATAATTACTCTTTTTAGCTGTTGCTTTTTTATTTTTTAAACTTTTTGTTTCCTTTTTGAAGTCATATCATACTTAGGTCTACCCCAATCTTTTTTATGAACTACTCAATTACTAATAACAATCTTAGACATATGTAAACAGTCTGTCCTTATTGGACCCCTTGTAATTGGTCTTTGGTATATACCTTATGTTTTTCTTGGCTCTTATATGTCATATCTTCTATCAAGTTCAAGTTTGTTTTGTTTTTTTTACAAAGTACTGAAAGTCTGACAATTCATTAAATGTCCATTTTTTTTTTTTTCATTCAGAATTATGCACAACTTTGCTGGGTATCACATTTTTGTCAGGAAGCTTAGTTCTTTTGCCCTTCAATATATAGTGTCCCAAGACCTGCAGTCTTTTAGTGTTACCTAAACATTTTTTTTCAGTATTCAGTGCCAGTCTTTGTATTGTCTTGCCCATGAAAAGCATTTTTTCTTCATAACAGTAGCAGTTTGTGTGTTTCATTAGTCTTTGTTCTTCCAACTTGAAGAAACCTGTGCTGCACTCTAGAACAATCAGTAACAACCTCTCCAGCCTCTGGGTCCTCTGAAGGTCTTTTCTTATTTTGTGAGGATTAATAAGGCTTTTTTGCAGAATAGTTTGCTAGTTCATAGTGTTTTGTTTTTGTTTTGGCCACATTTTCTTTTGTCCTTTGGTGCAGCTGATCATATTTTGATCTTAAGTGATGCTTGAAATACTTGACTTCGCCACAAACAATATAAAAATTATTCCTTGTTCTGAGTAATTTGCAGAACATCTTGTAAACTTTGCATCTTACTATCTATCAAAGTGCTCTGCTCATAGTAGATGCTTAATAAATGTATAGTAAATGGATAAAAATGCTTTGTACAATACCATTCAGCCCTGCCCCTCTGTAGTCACTCAGGAAATAACGTGGCTAAAAAGATGATTCATCCTGAGACAAGTGTAGACATACTTGACTTTTAAGGATAGATCATCAAAGCCTGGCTATCTTAGTTGTGAAAGAAAAAAAAAAGACATAAGATAAAGTCTCAGCACTTCTTCCATCTCCCTGTCTTAGAGTTAAGCCAAATTTGTACAAATATTTGCCCATGTTAATATTTATGTGGGTGAGGTGTAGGGAAGAACACGTAGGAGGGACTTTTCAGCAGGTCATGAGAGTAATTCTTATCTCTAGAAACATAAAATCACAGAATGTTTGCTCTGGAAAGAACCTTAAAGATCACCTGGTTCAATTCTCTCTTTTTTCAGATCACCAGAAGGAAGACCAGAGAGGTGGCTTATGGTATAGTTACTTGTTCAAGGTCACAGAATTCAGTTTTAGTTCATCATTTATCATTCATAATTCTTTATAGGTCCTGGGTATCTCAGTCCATATGCATGGAGCCTGTAACATCTTTAAGGCCCCAAAATTGGATGATCTCAGCAGCAAGTCTGTGTACCTCTTTTAGACCCATATGGTTTTCCTTTAACATAGGATCTTGATGAGATAGGAGCTAAGTGTCTCTTTCTTGGTCAACAAGGTGAGCCCTGGGCCTGGGCTTACCTAGTTGGGATTGGGTCAGATCTTTAGTTTTAATGCCTTTGCTGTCCAGAAGGGCCATGTGGGAGCTGACAATTTTCTAGAAGACACTGTTCTCTTCAAGTGTAAACGTTCTGAAAGCAACCATTTCCTTGACATAACAGAGGGGCTTTAACATCTTTTTTTTTTTCCCTTTCTCCTACCTCACTTCTAGGAGTGCTTTAATTCTCCCTATGGCACAAACTACTTTCCGGAATATGCAGAGACAATCCCTGGTGAATCCACACAAAGGCTTTCTGATTTAGCCAAGGAATACCAAGTTTATCTTGTTGGAGGTAGCTTTCTGGGGCTTCAGGGCTACATATTTCTTCATTTGGTGGGGGTCAAGTTCATATTCATGTGGGTGTTGTCACAACTGGTAGTGATTTTTATGTCTTTTACTTTTACCATTATTTTTTTCTGATGTTAAAAAAAATTGATTTGGAGTTTCCTCTTCTCCCCTACTTCCAACAAAGTCATGTTAAAGACATACTATTCCATAGCATGGGTTTTGCCAATAGACATTTTTCCAGGCATTACAAAAATGATTTTCTGAAAATGTTTGGTGTTTGGCATATTTGTCAGAAAGAGATGAAAGATAAATCACATCAGCATATGTCCAGTATATCTGTTTTGTGGGGCCTTTAACGTGAGGGGTAAAGAAATTTCCCTCTCGAAGGCAGGTAAGTAAGCTCAACAGTAACCTAGGTTTGTTTGGGGACGTTTTTTGAAAGAAATTTTTAAAAATTCTATTTATTATGGTAATAGCTTTTACCACTCCTGTATAGTTCCATGTTTGATGTCATGTATGTTACATATGTTAGGTGTGATGAGAGTTGCCCAAAAAAGACAAACATGGATGAATTGCAGTTTACATCATGGGAGGGAATTCCCAGATTCATGAAATCACAAGTTCATTTGAGTGTGTGACATGTATAGCAGTGTAGATATTATCGCCATTTTGCAGGGGAGGAAACTGAATCCTACGGAGGTTAAACAGCTTGTCTAAGTTTACACAGAATGTAAAGGCAACCATCATTGGCTTTTTTCCCATTGCTTTTTTCCATTGTATCACTACACCATACTTATTTATACTGCTTTTAAAATTAAGAATAGACAAAGTAAGATTTGGTTAAATAAATCCAATAATTTAAAAAGAAAATTCTTTGTTATGCTCAGTGAAGGGTAAGAGGCAGAGATGAGAGAAAGGAAGTGAAACCCAGTGCTGGTGATTATATGGAGGAACAGGTACACTCATTCATTATTGGTGGAATTACAAATTTGTAGAACCTTTTTTTGGAGAGCAGTCTGGCAGTAAAAGTTACAAAAATAATCATACCCTTTGACCAAGATTTCATTGGTGGCAATGTTCTCTGAAAGTGTTATTTAAAAAAAAAATAACACAGGGGGCAGCTAGGTGGCGCAGTGGATAGAACACCGGCCCTGAAGTCAGGAAGACCTGAGTTCAAATCCGGCCTCAGATCAAACACTTGACAGTGTTTGATAGCTGTGTGACCCTGGGCAAGTCACTTAACCCCAATTGCCTAAAAAAAACTAGAAAACTATTTGTTTAACATTTTTCATAGCATTATATACATAACTAAAAAAATCAGGAAATGACCTAAATTTCCAATACTAGGGAGGGTTAAATAAATTGTAATAATGGAATATTATAATACTATCAAAACTGACAAGGAATGCAAAAAATCCTAGGATCATGAATTTTGTGTTGGAAACTACCTTAGAAGCAAAACAAATCTGGAAAGACCTTTATGAAGTCATGCCAGATTTTTAAAAAAAAGAGGTGGAATCAGAACACTTAAGTACACACTAACTATAACCTTATAATAGAAGTGAATTAGAATAGACAACAGATTTCTGATAGGAACTTAAAAGTAACTGAAAAATTGTTATACTTTTTACATTGAAATTAATTCATTTAAGTAAAACTAGTTAGTAAGCAGATTTGGCTAATTGTATTGACAATTCAACGTTTTCAAAAATAATTCATTTTTTTAAAAAAGGGAAGCAGAGACAAAATAAACAATGAATCGGACTTTTGTCACATTGCCATCTTGTGGTCTTTTGGGATATTGCTACCAAAGACTTTAAAGCTTTGTTTCATTTTCAAGACTCCAAGGCCTCAATGAAAATATCTCTTCATATTTGTCCCACAAGCCAGTTGAAATTAAATTGAGAGGTGGATGTCTGTCTCTGATATAATGTCACAAACTAACATCTAATTGCTTAAGGGTAAAATTTAAATTAAGGAACACTTGGATTCTCTTAAGCCTGTTTTTGTTATATGCCCTGATACTGTTTCTCATACATGTAGGAACTTATTTCTGGAAGTATATATACTGAAAAATATCATTTTGAAAAACATATGTTCAAATAGCCTTATTTTTGGCACATCAGAAAATATTGACAAGCTGTTAATCACTTTCCACAAGGAAATTAAAGTCTGACATGCTGTATTGAGAAAAATTTTGATGGTATATGTATATGTATTTTTTTTTTCCTTTTAATGAAAGGCTCCATTCCCGAAGAAGATGGTGGAAAATTTTACAATACCTGTACTGTATTTGGTCCTGATGGAACTCTTCTGACAAAGCACAGAAAGGTAAAGGATGTGATCGAGTCTCATTTGTCCTTGTTGCTGCTCTGCTCCATTTTTGTCTTTGTATGCCTAGTGCCTTGCACATAGAAGACACTTAATAAATGGTGATTGAGTTTAAATACCTACAGGACCTAAAGAGATCTAGTGGTTAATTGATGAAGTGTGGTTGGAGTTCAGGACAGAGATAAGGGCTGGATATGTAAATTCAGGAGTAATCTTTATGGATGTGTTATATGAACCTGTGGAAGGAGGGAAGATCACGGATAGAAAAGGTATAAAGAAAGAAGAGTTCCTGGGACAGAGACTTATGGAATACCCACACTTAAAGGAGTGAGAGAGCAGTGATGATGTTTCAGGGAGAGTGAGTAGGAGTCAAAGAGGTAGGAGGAGAACTGGAAAAAGCCTTGCTGTGGAAGTCGAGGCAGAGAGAATCTTCAGGAGGAGAGGAAGTCAAGGACAGGAAGGGCTGAGGATTTAGCAGGGAAGGGAGAATGCAGAGTATGGGAGAGAGAAGTGTCAGGTTAGAAGCCAGATTAGAAGAAGTATAGCAGTGGGTATGCTGCAAGTATAAATGATCTTTCTGGGAGTTTGGCAGCAAAATTTAGTTCAATTTCAAGAAGCATTTGTTAAGTGCCTATATCATGTTAGGTTGTAGGACTACAAAGACAAAAAAACCTTGTACTGGGAGTGGGGTGGGAATAGCCACATAGATAAATATAATTAAATACAGGAAAAATACAAAATAATTACAAAGTATATAGGGAGCTGGGTTTAACAAGAGATAGTGAGGAGGGAGAACATTTCAGGCATGGAGAGGAGCATCTTAGGAAGGGCTTTAAGTGCCAAACAGAAGAGTTTGCTTTTTACTCTAGAGGGAATAGGGAGCCACTAAAGTTCCTTCAGCAGGAGAATGAAGCAGGCCTGTGCTTTAGGAATCTCAGCTGGACGGCTTTTTGGAGGATAGATGTAGAGAGGGGGAATTGGAGACAGGGAGATCATTCAATAGTCCAGGGAAGACAGAATGAGGGCCTGAATTGGGGTTGTGGCTGAGTAAATTAAGAGAAGGCTGTAGGCGTGAGAGATGAAGACCTGACAACTGAGTGAGTGTGGGGATGAAACATCTGTCCTGGGCTAGGGACCACAAAAACCAACAGTCCCTTAAACTTGAATTCCTGTGGGGGAGAAGGGGGAGAGGATGGAGTATGTGAACAAGCAAATCCAAGGATGTGCCTGGAAACATCTAAGATAATGAAAAATGTGTGGGATGGAATGGGCGTGGGAATGGTGGAATCCAGAGGAGCAGAAAAGTGTAAATAGTGGAGAAGAATGCCTGCCAGAAAGAGATGGGCTATTCCAAATATGGTTTTTCCTATGGAAAGAACTGCAATTTTATAATCTTAAGGAGAAGCAATGCATCAGGGAGTTAGATCAGCAAAGCCATGGATCCATTTTGTGGATGGTGTTCAGTGCTGGGCTGAGAAGTTTTTATTCCAGAGACATTAGGAAGACACAGAAGTTTGTTAAGCAGGGGAGTCACATAGCAGTGTCTTACCTAGATGGGGATTGTTTTGTCAACCGAGGAGAAGGTGTGGATGGGAGAGGAAAGCCTGGAGAAGGCATCTGAGCCAGGTGGTGGAAGAAGAGGAGGAACACAAGAGATGCGACTGTAGAGGAAGCAGGAAGGAGACTTAGGGGTGAGGAAGGAGAAGGGTTGGCTGCATCCCAGGATTTGAGAGTGGGCATCTATTGAATCCTGTATACACAAGGATTCTCCACTTTAGCATACCTGAGAAGTGTCATCCGTCCTCTGCTTGAAGCCCTCAGAGACAACCCATCACCTTTCCAGGCATCCCATTCCACTTTTGATCAGCTCTGACTGCCAGGAAGCTTTTTCTCACTTTCCATCTAAATTTGTTTCTTTCCAACTTCCACCAGGTTTTCCTGGTTCTGACCTGGGGGACCAAATAGACTGTGTCTCATCCCTCCTTCACATGATAGGTCTTCAGATACTTGTAGACAGCTAGTATGTCCTGTGCATTTTATATAGGTTAAATATCCTTGGTTCCTTCGAGCAGTCCTTATGTGACATAGACTCCTGGGTTAAAAACCCAGGGGTCTGGGAGGATGGTGGTGATCTGAAGGGAGGGTAGGCTATGGATTCTGTAGGCTGAGGGAGAGAAAAAAGAAGATTCCCAACATGGGAGGACCACCCATCGCATCAGAGTGAGAAATGCTGTGCACAGGGAACATCTGCTAGGCCTATTGGAATAGAACAGAAAGTGTGAGAAACAGAACCGGGAAAGGGGGATAGGAACCAGACTGGAGTACCAAGGGGTTTATGTTGCACTCTGAAGGCAAATAGGGGAACCACTGAAGATCTTTGAGATCTGTGTTATAGATTAGAAATAATGTGATTCTTCAGCCAGTGGGTAAGATTTACTAGGAGGGGTGTTTACAGGATTTTCCCACTACTCCCCATATTTGCATGTGTAAAATATTAGTTTTTGAAGGCTTGTGAGCATTCCTTGGTAACCATACCAATTATTTTTGGGACAGCTTCATCTGTTTGACATTAATGTTCCTGGACGGATTCGATTCCAAGAGTCAGAAACGTTGAGTGCTGGTGACAGTCTCTCCATGTTTGATACCCGTATGTGCAGGGTTACGTGGGACCTCGATCTTTGGGGTGCTTCTTTCTCACCTACTTGTCGGTGAAGGGCAGCGGGTGCTTCCACCCCCTTCTCGGTCTTTACCTGCACGGGCGTAGTCCTTGCGCAAGGCAGTGTTTCTTAGATTTACAGTCAGCATGTGTTCCCACCCCTTATGGGGATGTCGGGGCTTAGAGGTGGTTTGCACCAGTGCCTTCATTTTACTGATGAGGTAAGCAGACCTGGAGAGAAGTGATTTGCCCAAGGTTACAAAGTTAATAAATAGAGGCATTGACATTTTAACCCAGGTCATCTTACTGCAAATCCAATCATATTTTCCTTAACACCAAAGTAAGTTATTTTGCAAAACCTTGTTACAAGTCTGTGGATAGTAGAGACAGCCTGGGGTAGTGGGGAGAAAACTGGTCTGGGAGTCAGACAGACCTGGGTTCAGCACCTGCCTTCACATGTACTGGCTTTGTGACTTTGGGCAAGTCTCTGGGCGCTCCAGGGAAGTTTCTAAAAGAGTGAATTGACAAACAGCTGCTTTCTGATCTACATTGGGATTTAACCTCCACCAGTGAAATCACAGGTGTGGAACAAAAATACCCAAACAGCCCCATCCGCGTTTCCCTCAGAGGGGCTGGACGTAGTGACAAATGCTTGTTGGCCAACCCGCTGATGCTCCCTGGGCAGTCGAACAAGTGAGCAGCTGGATGCTAAGTTGCTTGCCTGCCTGCTGTTTATTCCAGCCTTCCACAGATAGCCAGGCCCTGCCTCCAGAAAGTCATAATTTAGGATAAATGAGGGGAGCAGGATTAAGATCATTTTGCTATTTATGCACCATCTCCATTTTTTAAGTAAAAGGACTAGCATTTTTATTTTGGAATTCTAGTGGAGTCCTGGAGATCTGAGAGCTGTTTTGTGTCCTTATGCATGTCTCCTAAGTTGAGTCAGTCAAAAACCATTTATTAAGTTCTTACTAACGTGCTGAGTACTGTGCTAGACTTTGAGATTACACATTTAAAAATGAAACGGCCCCTGTCTGAAGGGAGGTGACCTCCTATCGGGAGATCCAGGTTGTCTAAGATCCTTTAGAACAGGGCACACTGACACCTTTGGCAGTTTGCTGAAGCCTGCGGGCCTCTTAGAATAATGTTAAATGCATGAAATAAAATACAAAGGATCATAAAGGAAATCAGTTATATTGGAATGCAGTCATCAAAAGATTTAAAAAAAAAAACAACCCAGGTCATAGGTTCTAGCTTAAAAGCCCTTACTATAAGCCAAGCTGGGGTATATTTGGGTGAAGGAGGGCCTGAACTGGGCTCCTGGTCCTCTCCTCTTACTGGAGAGTACCCCCCCCCCAAGTATTACTGTTGTTGCTTTTTTTGTTGTGCTTCCTTTTGCCTAGTGACACTGACTTTTTGTCTGAATCTCTTGTCTGAGAAACAGCTTACTGCAAAGTGGGCGTGGGAATTTGCTATGACATTCGCTTCGCTGAACTTGCACAAGTCTACTCTCAGAAAGGTGAGGATTTTTTTTTTTTTGGTGGCTGATGAAATACTTGAGGGCCTTGAGTTGCGTAAGCCTGAGTAAGTCCTTGGTCAATTGACAAGTGTGGAAAGCCCTGGATCATTTTGAGATTGAGGAAAGAGAATGGATAAGAATCAAGTCAGCAAGCACTCATTCAGCTCCAACCACGTGTCAGGCACTGTGCTAAGTGCTGGGGATACAAAGAAAGGCAAAAAACCAACTTTTCTCTGCTCTCAAGGAGCTCACAGTCTAATGGGGGAGACAAGGTGCAGGTAGTTATGTACAAAGGAGCTCTAGATCAGACGGTTTGGAGGCAATCACCTTTACAACATGCTGGGCAGATACTCGTCCAGTCTTTGCCTAAAGATGTCCATCAATCAAGCCACTGCCTCCTTAAGCAGCACATTGCACTCTTGGAAATGGCACATTCAAACCTGAATAATAAATTCATGCCTTCAGAATCCTCTCCACTTAAAGCTGGAGTAGAGAGGTCCTTCATGAAGCCTTCCTTGGTTCCTCAGCTCATTATGTTTACTCTTCAACATTTTCCTTGAGCACTTAGTCTGGCTCTCTCTTCTGTGACTCAGTTATAGTGAACATTCGTGGTAAGCTCCTTGAGGACGAGGGACTATGTAATTTTTCATCTCTTTTAGTCCTAGAACCTGCTAGAGAGATTGAGCAAAGGCCCTTAAAAATGACATTTAATTTGGAAGGGAAGGGGAGGGAAGTAAGCATTTACAGAGCATTTACTGTGTGCCCGGCACTGTGCTAAGGCCTTTACGATTATTATCTCATTTGATCCTCACATAACGCTGGGAGATAAGTACTGTTATTGTCCCCATTTCACAGTTGAGGAAACTGAGACAGACAGGGGTTAAATGACTTGCCTAGGGTCACACAGTTGGTAAGTGGCTGAGGCTGGGTTTGGACTCCAGTCTTCTTGACTCTAGGCCCAGCCCCCTATCCACTGAGCCACCAACTACCTCAAAAATTGGCAAGTTTATTGAATTTATTATGTATTTATTGAATGTCTAGTGTGTGTTCAGTGCCATGAACTTAGAAGACTTTTGGAAGAAGTAGAGGTAACTGGGTCATGCTATCTCAGTGTCCTTCGTGAACTTGTCCAAGTCAGTCTCACACAGCGTGAAGGAGCAGGAGATGGATTCCCTGCCCACAAGCAGTTTACAGTCTAATGTTCAGATTGAAATCCATCATCCAGAGTTGAGAGAGTTTTTTCAATTTTCTGTGGGGCATCGAACCACAGGCGGTGATTACAAAAGAAGGAGATTTGGTTTTGATGGGCTTCATGTCTGTGCTGCTTGTCTAGACTGACCTGATTGGCATTGTCTTAAGGTTTGGGGCTGTGAGGTGTGCCAGGTGAGGAGCAATGACATGGGCTGCACTCATCTCAGACCAATGCCAGTTCTCATATCTTTTTCTTTAAGGTTGCCAGCTCCTGGTATACCCTGGTGCTTTTAACTTGACCACTGGACCAGCACACTGGGAGCTGCTCCAGCGAGGCCGGTAAGATCAGGCTCGTTTTTTAGGGCTTTTTCCTCCTGAAAAATTTTCCAGCTTGGTAGACTGCTGACCCAGCAGAAACCTACTGTCCACAGTGGGATGTCACCAAGGGACTCCAGCCTCAGCTTGGCCACGTTGGGCAGATCCAGCGGGAAGAATTCCTGCTTGTTTTTCACCTTGTGACCAGCCACACCCCTGATCCCCAAGAGCCCTTGCAGTGTTGTGCCCTTCCTCGTCTGGGCCTGGGACCTGGAATCCAGGTTTTAGTTTCTTGAGATATCGTGGCATGTAGGGTATTGGCCTTGGAATCAGAAAGATCTGCATTCAAATCCCATCTCAGAACATCTACTCACCTTGTGACTGGACAAGTCCCTTAACCTCTGTCAGCCTCAGTTTCCTTATCTGTAAGATTGTGGTAACAACAGCACCTGCTTCACAGGGTCATTGTGAAGTTCAAGTGAGATAACATCCATAAACATTTTGCAAACCTTAAATTACCATAAAAATTTCACTTATCTGGAAATCTGTTTTTGTTGCTTTGGAGAAAATGGATGAAGTATTTTATGTCCTTTTAGGGACTTAATCTTGACACCTCCCATGTTTTCCACTCAGATACTAGATCAGGGTTAGGGAACTGATATCTAACTCTCATTCTTAGAATAATAATGCTTAATTTTAAAATGTACTAATAACCAGGGGCAGCTAGGTGGTGCAGTGAATAGAGCACTGGCCCTGGAGTCAGGAGGACCTGAGTTCAAATGCGGCCCTGAGGCCTTGACACTTGCTAGCTGTGTGACCCTAGGCAAGTCACTTAACCCCATTGCCTAGCCAAAAAACCCAAAATGTACTAATAACCATATTTTTTAAATTAGAAACTTGTGGTTTCATTGGTATAGGGAACTTTTGATGAGAAAATTCCCTCTCTCCCAGTGCCCTGAAATTGTGAGTTTTAGTGCGTTGCTGAAGACACAGAAAAAAGTTAAGTGACTTGCTCCAGGGTCACATCGCCAGTGTGGGTGACGGCAGGACTCCCATCCAGATCTTTTTGACTATAAGGCCTGCCCTGTACCCAAGATAATTAGACTTTCTTGTATAGTGCTTATAGACGTTGAAGTGTTATCACAAATATTTTGTCTCATTATTTGCATTCAGAAATTGATTGGACCTTTGGATCAGAGTACCATAAATAGTACCCTGTTCATCTGGTCACGATCTGGTTGTAGATCAGGGTCTGTCTCGTCTAATCAGCTCATTTTACAGATAAGGAAGCCGAGGCCCAAAAAAGCGTATTTTGTAGTAAATTTGCCTCTAGCCATGTTTCAGATTTCCATGTTTCCTAAGTCCCTCTTGCCAATTTGTGACCAGAGGTGAAGAAGAGAGATGGTGGGAATTGTGGATGGCTGGTGTGTGAGATGGGAATGGGGGATGGATGGATGGATGGATGGATGGATGGATGGATGGAAGGAAAGATGGAAGGATGGATGGATGGATGGATGGAAGGACAGAGACTGTGCAAGAGAAGCAAGAGAATATCAGCTCCTGGGGGGCAGAGATTGTTTGTCATTTTGTCTTTGTACCCCTAGTGCCTTGTACATAGTAGGTGCTTGTTCCAGCACTCTAGGGGATCTGTGCTCTCACGGATGAGGGTTTCTCTCCAACTTGGCAGATCTAAATCAATCCATGCTTATTTATTCTGTGAAGTGTTCATCTATAGCCACCAGTATGTTAATACGGAGGCAGAGAGAGGTGTTCACTTAATATTCTGGGAGCTTTCCTTGGGGTTTCTTGATGTCATGAGGAATGACTGACTACAGGGGTAGGTGGTGTGCCTGGCAAGTTCACAGATATGTCTGAGGCTAAAAAAAACTTGAGAAACACGAATGTGACCTGATATTGGTACCATTGCTTCTGCCTTACTCACATATGTGAAGGATTGCTTCCAAAAAATCCTGTTTTATTCTGTATTACTCAAAGGCTAGGCCTCGTGGCTCTGTCTACACAAGCAAAGGGAACTAGTAGAGTCTGTGGCTGTTGCATGGCTAGGCCCTTTACTCTGGCTCCCCCCTCAGGTGATTGTCACTGATTACTATTGAACTTGAAGGCATGAGCCATAGTGTGGTGTAGACAATGTCTAGAAGTGTATCCCTTGATGTTTCCTCCAGCTAGTCCACGTTTTCCCTGGTTTAGCTGGTCTCTTGGTGTTCTTGGTATTTTGTCTCCTGAGAAATTCTTCCATCTTGTTCAGCCGAAAAGGGGCCCTCTCTGGATTGAAAAGTATTATCAATCATTCAACATTTATTAAGGCTAGGCACTGTGCTAAGCACTGGGATACAGAAAGAGGCAAAAGATAGTCCCTGCCCCCAAGGAGCTTACAGTCCTAAGAGGGGAGACAACATGTAAACATCTGGGGCAGGAATTTTGCAACATGATGATCTGATTTTTTATGAAGGGATTACTTATTTTTTCCTCATCTTTTAATTCTAGTGCTGTAGACAACCAAGTGTTTGTGGCCACTGCTTCCCCTGCCAGGGATGTAAATGCCCCGTATGTTGCCTGGGGACACAGCACGGTGGTGAGTCCTTGGTAAGTTTCTTCATTCCAGGTCCCTTGAAGGCATTTCTGTGTGTACATTTCTCACACTGCCTTAGTTTGTAGCACTTGTTCTTAGAGCACCCTACAGGAAGGATGTTGAGGAGATATCATGGTGTTGGGGAAAGAGAGTCAGAGAACTTGGGTTTAAATCTTAATACTATCATTTATCACCTGTGTGACCTTGATCATGTCTTTTAACCTCTCTGGGCTTCAAGTTTCTTTATCTGTAAAATGGGGTAGAACATGATGATCTCTAAGGCCCCTTCCATTTTTAAATTTGGGATTCTATTCCCTTGTGATATAATCTCAGAATAGAATCCCTTTCAAGTTTCTCTCTAGCATTTGGTCAGTTTTATCTGTGCATTGTGGACAGTTTCTTACAGATGTGGCCACATGTCATGTGACATACCCAAGATCTTGCAGAGTAGTAAGCTTCAGACGTAGGATTTGAACCCAGGTCATTTCACTTCAGAATCAGTGCTTTTTCCACAGTACTACACTGACTCCTATCAGCCCAGTGACAGAGTAGTTAAGTGGTTGTACAACACTGGACCTTTATTTCTTCCTTTCCAAAAATTGAACCATAGAGTTCTAGAAGACATTTGGGGGCCATAGGCAGGAAAGAGAATTGTGGCCATCTGTTATGTCTGATTTGTGTGTAAAACAAATTCAGTCGTAGCTGCCTGGTCAACTAACAAAGAGTTAATTACTAAAAAGAGAGAAATTATAGAATTTTACATGGGGTTTTGAACATTTTCCAGGTCAGCCTTTCTCTTGAGATTTAGCATGAATTGGAGGTGGAAATGAATTAAGAAATAGACCCTGTGTGCATCATCAGACTTATTGCATATTAATTGCATTATGTGACAAATTATATTATATGACAAATCTACATTAGGAAGAGTAATAGTCTTCATCCTTGGAGATAACAGAATGTTTGACTAGAAGGAACCTTAGAATTAGATACCATTGTGATCTCCAACTCCCTTGTTTTACAGGTGAGGAAACTAAGGCCATTCAAGGTTAAGTGATTTACCCAAGGTCACACAGCTACTAAGTGTCAGAAGTGAGATTTCAGAACCATATTCTTGGTCTTTCCATTACACCAGCCAGTTACCCATCATCCTCTCAATGTAGAAAATGCCCCTGCTAAATACGTCCTTTTTCTGTGTTGGCTCCTTTTGCAGGGGAGAAATTCTAGCCCAAGCTGGCATTGACGAAACCGTTGTGTATGCAACCGTAGGTAAGACTTGCCTGCCAGTTTTACCCTGTTTCTCTTCATCCCTCAACCTCAGTTTCCACTTACACAATGGTGGCTTAGTTTGGTTTTGCCCTCCAAACTGACTCAGCAGTCATGACTTCATTAGACTTGGTGAGCTGCCTCCTGCCTCTCAGCAAAGAGGTGGTGTGACCCAGAATCCTAGAGAGGTGAGACCCCTACCCTCATGGAGCAACACGTGGGCATCCCAACAGCCCATTCGGCTTTTGGATAGCGATTTTGACCGTTAGCATCCATTGCTCCCGGTTCTGCCCTCTGGGACCAGACAGAACCAGCTAGATCCCTCTTCCACGGCTTTCACATGATGCTGAGGTGTCTTTCCTCCCAGCTTAGCATCCCTGTGGGCAGATTGTGGCATGCATACATTTCAGAAATGGCTCGTGTGTTGGCTTGTTTCACTTAACTGTACTGACTTGTTAAAAGGGAGTATCCCTTAGGGAGCAGGGCAGAGGCAGGGTCTTTGGGAAGTGACAGTAGTGCATCAACATTAGTCAACATAAAAACAAAAATAAAAGCACCAACAAAGCCCTTAGAAACAAACCAGCCACCTCCCTCAGAGCTTGGAATGTGACACCCCCTCCTCCAGGGTCAGACCCAGACCAGCCCCAGGAAATGGTTTCTGGTGTGCTCTGGGAACCCCCAGTAGTGAGGAGGTTTTGCTCTCAGAGGAGGCTGTGTTTTAGTGACAGAACTTGCTCTTCTTGCAGACCTGGAGAAGTTGGCTGAAGTTCGCCAACAAATCCCTGTTCTCAGCCAGAAGAGGAGAGACCTCTATGCTGTGGAGTGGAAAAAGCCCTGAGGGGCCTGTGTTGCTGAGGAGGAGGAAGGCGGCCTTTTATGTCTGGCTCTTTAAATTCTTTTCTGGATCTCCCTGTTTTTTAAAAATTTCAACCTTTTTCTGTCAGTAAAGGGTGAAGAAACTAATGAGATTGGGACACCTAGGTGGTGCAACGGATAGACACCGGCCCTGGATTCGGGAGGACCTGAGTTCAAATTCGGCCTCAGACACATAACACTTACTAGCTGTGTGACCCTGGGCATGTCACTTAACCCCATTGCCTAACCAAAAAAAAAAAAAGAAAGAAAGAAACTAATGAGATTACAGAACATTTTAATTATTAGCCATTGGCTTATAATGGACATGCTGACCAAAGTAGTTAGCAGAATGAAGTGTTAGATCCCGATCAGGTGCAAAATTCACATAAAACCAAGGTGCCTGTGGACACTGAGGTGACTACTCCATTTTATGGAGTTGGAAGTTTTTTGGTCAGAAAACTGGCCAAAACTTATTGCATTTCTCCAGAAGTGCCTAAGATTTCAGACCTGGCCAATGTGTTGAATTGTTTTGCTTGATTATACTTGTCTGTTAAAAGGGAGAGTTCCTATTTATTCTGTGGCAGTGGGGCCTGGGTGTTAAGTTACTGCCTAGTGACTGAGATGGGAAGAAAAGAAGGAAGAGCATCAGTAATACATTAAAAACTGGAAAAGAATAAGTTCAGAGGGAGAAAGGGGCAGTTTTGTGAAGTTTCCTCTTTGTACTTTAAATGTTTGTGTTAAGTACACAATAAAAATTACTTAAAAGATAACATTAAATTTGCATTAAAATTAAAAACCATGGGGCCTTTTCCCCACCCCTCATTGCCTCATCAAATTTCTCTTCCTTTGTGGGCATGGTTGTCCTCACCAATCAAGTCTCTCAGATTGACTAACATAGTTCTTTGGAGTGTCCCTTAAGTGAATCTAAATATTTCATTTTGCTTTCCTACCACGTATTAGCCTACCCAGTCAAAGATCACTCAGGCTCATCAACCCTCTATTTCTTATTAACCTTTCTGATAGTGTAGGTTGTCATCTCCCACAGTGTAAGTGAAAGAGCCATCCTTGCAGCCTAACATCTAGATGCTGGAGAGGAGAGTTTCTACACAAACTTAAAATGTGAGGGTTGTCCTTGCTAATAGTCTTGTGTAAAGTGTCAGTTAACAGCACACAAACACAAATGGTTTCCAAGCTCAACACGTAAGAACCCAAAAATAGCTTTATTCCCATGTGTTACTGGATTATCCCGTCTCATTTTACCTTTTGTTTTCGCAAGGAAAAACAAATGGAGAGGTTTTGTCAACAGCAATGCGCAAACTACTAACCCTTCCTGCCTGGAAAGGAAATTGGGGAGCAAGTTGGAGTCTGGGCCGATGCAGAAAAGTTTTGAATAACTACTCCCTTTTCCAATATCTTCATACTTCCTAATGGTAGCCAATGCTTTAACTTGTTAAAAAATCAACATAATGGTAACATCAGTTAAAGTTATTACAGGCACTCACTACAGATAAAATTATGTAAAGACAGGTTCAAAATTCTCAAGAGAAATAGCTACTTGGTAGCTAGAGCTATCCCTCAGCTGCTCTTCTGAGCTAAGTCAGATTGTCCATTCTTTGAGCAGACTTAGTGAAGCCCGTTCCTCAATAGATTTAACGCTGGTGTCACCCACTCGCTTACATACCCACAAACAATTAAAAGTGTGTTTCTTTCCTCTAGGTTCAATGGAGGATCTACTGTACAGAATCCTTTAACAAGGCATTGGTAAACATCATTTCCTTTCCCACATTTCCTTTAAAATGGCAGCTGCTAGGACAGCTAGGTGTCGGAGAGGATAAAGCACTAGCCCTGGAGGAAGGAGGACCGAAGTTCAAATGTGATCTCAGACCTGACACTTGACACTTAACTGTGTGATCCTGGGCAAGTCACTTAACTCCAAGTGCCTCGCCAAAAAAAGAAAAACAGAACAAAAAAAAAAAATGGCAGCTGCTAAATCTTATATGATCCTGATTTCCTCAGTATTGGAGTTCTTTCTGGCTTGCAGTATTTTTTCCTTGTATCTAGAAAAGGTATTTTAACAATGACATTCCTAGAAGTTTCCATTTTGAGGTTTTTTTAGGTGATTGGTGGATTCTTCATATTTTCACATTGCCCTCTTTTTCTAATATGTTTAGGCAATTTTAAAAAAAATATTTGATCGAGTTTTTTGGTTTTTCTGGTCAAGGATTTCAGGTAATCCAATGATTCTTGTCTCCTTGATCTGTTTCTCCCAAGATCTTTTGACTTTAATAATGCTTGTCTCCTAGAATCATTAACTATTTGATCGATTCTAATTTGGATCCAGTTTTATGCCTTGTGTTCTTCCCCCCCCCCAACAACCTTTGGGATTGTGTCTTAAAATTTTGGGGCTGGGTAATGGGGTTAAGTGACTTGCCCAGTGTCACACAGCTAGTAAATGTTATGTATCTGAAGCCAGATTTGAACTGAGGTCATGAATCCAGGGCTGGTGCTCTATCCACTGTACCACCCTAGTCCCTGTGTCTTAAAATCTTTAAAAATTTGTTTATTCATTTTTGCTGCTGAGGCCTGACCTCAGCTGAATTCTAGGTTTCCTGTTCTCTGAGGATCAGATCAAATTGAGGACTCTTCCTTTGCCCCAGAGATTTCTTTAAATGGACTCTCCCTTTCCTCATGGGTCAGAATAAGTTAGGGCCCCTTCCGTGCTTATTCCTTCACTCTGGATGCCAAAGCTCCCCTTTTTGTTTGGACTTAGTTGAAGCCCTTCCCTTGGGAAGGGCAGAAAGAAGTTTTTCCTCTTCTGGCCAAACAGACCTACTTTTTTTTCCTCTTAGGCTAAGGTCCACCTACCTCACCTTCTTTCCTCTAAAAGCAACAGGTGTTTGCTGAGGTTTCTTCTTCCTGCTGAAGTCTTTCACTGTCATCCCTGGGGATGTCTTACTGATAAGATTTATTTCTTTACCCCAAGCCTTTAGCTTTCACTCTTTAAGGGGTCTGACTTTTTTTTTTTTAAGAATTGTGTTGTGTGGCAGTCTGGTTATTCAGTGGTGGGGGAGAGCCATTAATAAATAATTATCTAGTATAGTGCTCTATTATGAAAATGTTGATTAAATTTCAATTTTTAGGATATAATAGTAGCAAACTTTTTTGCTCTTCCTTTGTGGGCATGGTTGCCCACAAAGATATGGAATAAGAAATCTGTGAGATGCTCTGTAAGTAAGGGTCAACAGTTCTATTAAAAATTATTTTTAAAAGCAAATGTTGGGACTTGGGGTGGAAAACTGTTCTATTATGAAAAGCAATCTGGAATTATGCTAAAGAAGTAACCAAAATGTCCATACCTTTTGGCTTAGAAGGCCAGAGATAGGCATATGCCCTAAGAACACTAATGATAAGAAAGGAAAAAAAAAAAAGGCCTCACATAAACCAACATATTTATAGCAGCACTTTTTTTGTAGAATGTGAATATAATGGAACTGTAAGAAATGATGAATACAGAGTAGTGATGATAAATTAATAACTAAGACAAAGTGGAGTAGGTTAAATGAGGAAAACAATATACACAAGAGCAATAACATAGAAAGGAAAAAGAAGGGTTAAAATTGAAAACTTCACAGAACAAATCCGCTCAGTAAAAGGATTTGTTCTGTAAAATTTGGACTCAGTCAAAAGGCTGCAACACAAGGACCTACAAGACCACAGGTTCCTCACCCCTGGTCTAAGAGAAGGCACCTCTCCTTTGCAAAGGGGGTAGGAGGGATAATGAGTATGGAACTCTCAAATACAGAACTGCACATAAACAACACTTTATATTTTAAAATGTTTCCGCTGACTTTTCTTTTACATTCTTGGATGGGAGGGATAACACTGAGAAATGTGGGTGATATGAAAATAAGTTATCAATAAAGGATTTTTTTTTAAAGTAGAAGTTGGATGGGGTAAAGGAAAGCCAGGAGGACGCTCTGAATTTGACTGGCAATCTTGTCATAGTACCAGAGGACAATGAATGCTAGGGTTGGTCCTGACAAATTAGAGTAGGACAGTCTTCCATGACCATTGTCCTTACTATGAGGAGAGGAAAAAAAAACCCAAAAAACACCACACATCCTAAATAAATTCATTTACTTTGGTTTGTCCAATATTGTAGGAATATAGGGACAGGGAAAAAAGTACTGATGATGACTATGGTTGCCCCCTTTCCCACAATGTCAGCTGTCATGGTGTTCCACATAATTTCTTCTAACCTTTTTGTAGAATCCAATGAGCATATGGGTGTCAAAAACCAGTTTGCTGACCCCTGCTTTTAAAGGAATGCCACTTTTGTCCTATTTTATCTTTGAGCGCACATGATTTCGAGGGACTGTTATTATCTCTGTTCTAACATCTAAAACCTCTGCTATTTTCAACTACTACCATTACCTTGTAGCAATAGGCTGCTACTATTTGGTGATCACTTACGTACTGTTCCATCTTTAAAAAATGAAGAAAAACTTGAATGTAATATTTATTTGGTGAATTTACATGTGAGTTCATTTACAAAAGAAAAGTTACAGACAAATGTAGCTTTCAGTGCAGTTTCAAATATTTTAAGAACAGGCAACAGTCCGTGAGGATTTGGAATGATAATATTGAACGGCACATGCGTCATTTTCCTTTGTGTGGTTTTTTTCTACCCCTCCCCAGGGGGAGGAAGGAAGAAGAGTAGAAGAAAATGTCAGTGTCAATGAAAATAAGGCCATGCAAATAAAAACCCTTTTAGAGAATCAGAGGAATTTTAAGTTGGGGATAAGTAACTCTCCTGAAGTCAGCAGTGGTTGTCCTGGAAGGTGCATAATTTAAAGACTAAAAATGGAGAGAGAGCCCTTAGATCTGAACTGTCACTATCCTGGTTGTCAAAAAAATTTTACTTCCCAATTTGCTACCTTTAGACCCATGATCTCCTAAAGCCAGGAGTTACTACCCCTGCTATGAAAGAGGGACCAATCTTATAGATACTAAAAAGGTAGTGTTTGCGCTGACAAAGTTTATTTGGTTTCAGAAGTATAAGCACCCAGTGAATGCTGACCCTTTGGATAAGCAGCATCTCCTCACCCCAGACCCTGTACACTATCAAGATTTTAGTTCCCAGAGGGATGGCATGAGGCCCTAATATGTTGTGGTATGTATTGTCTAAGGCTCAGACTTAGTGAGATACTATCCGATGGCCCACTGCTTTAAAAAAAACAAACAAAAAAAGAAAATGAAAACCCAAGCAACAAAATGGGACGCTCTGCTAGTAGATGAGGATTATAACCCAAAAGGACAGTCTGGATAAAATGATGGCTAGGAATAAATAATGAACTGAAGTATGGGTTGCAGGTTGAGTGAGAATAAAAATGTAAACAGATAGGTTTCCTGAGTTGTCAACAAATTCCTATATATTGGCACTCAGGACCTCACAACAAAGGGCTCACTGATTTAAAACTAAAGGCATCCCACACACATACTTTTACATAAAAAGTAGCAACTCAGAAAAGGTACTTTTTCTAACTGTTACTGTAACTTGGTGAAACACTCAAAACACTTGCCATTTCAGGAAATACTAATTGCGCTCTTGACAATAACATCTAAGCCCTCAATAAAAGCACATTCCTTTACCAAATTTTCTCTACTAGCTACTTTAAATTAAATATTTCCATGTATCACATTCATTCCACTTTTATTTAGGTTATATACATAAGCCAGCATTTCAATTTCTTTAAAAAAGTGTACACAATTGGTACCAAGTTCAGAAAATAAGTCTTAGGCCTGTAAAAACCCACCTGCTTTTACCTCTTGAGTGGTCTACTCCCAACAGTAGCAATGCTATTAAAAGTCTTTTCTAAGTCTTCCAGCCTACAAGTCCTTCAAAACAGATTCTGTGTTTCTGCACAGTTTACTATAAGGAGTTTGTGGTTGCTTTAGATTTGAAGCTATTTATATTTCTCATCATTTATTAGTGTCGCTGTGGAAAATGATCAAATTGTTCAATAGCTGCCACCAGGTTCTTCCTAGAGTTATGCAGAACGCAAAGGCTTTGTGCCTCTGGTCATATTTAAGGTTCTCTCTCAATTTAGCTTTAAAAACAAAAATACTTTTTTCCTTTGAAAAACAAATAATCAACCCAGAGGGATTAACTGCATATAAATTAATTTCATAGCACTCGCCATATTATTTTAAAATCAACATGCTGTAAAATGTTCACATATATATGTGTACATATATATAAAAACAAAATCATCCAAAACATAATCACTCCCCCCACCCATGAACAAATCCAAGTTTTTATTTGCATGGCCAAGATATCTTTTGTTCCCTCTGCAACATTGTTTTAGATATCCCTTTCTGTTGCATTAGGGAATAACTTCAACACTGCAAACTTCCTTGAACAGCCACTCCCACAACACCTAAACATTAAACAGATGTGACAAATGACAAACACCACAAAGGGAAAAACTAAGCTCCGCCATTCATCACGGTCTGTGATCACGTCTGTAGGGCTCTGCTGAAGTATGGGCAAACGGCTAAAAAGAGGGTCATTTTTCCTTTCCCAGCTGTTTTACAACGTAGGAGGTTTTAATCCATATTTCTTTGCAACTTCTGTCTGAGCATAGGCAGCATCACAAAGTGAATAGAGGTGTGCCATCTCCATTTCTGATTTGGCTAGGTTAATCGCCTTGTTGAACATGTCAATGGCTTTATCCATGTTTCCTCTGAAAGGACAAAATTCCAAGTCAAAACTACGCCACAAATTTTGTAATTTAAAAAAAAGGGACAGTAATGTAAGCAAAATGATACAGGGACCTGACTACTAAATTTTAAACTGACTTTGAGTTATCTGCTTTGTACTTAAACCCCTATTAGTGAAATATGGGGCTTCTGAGCAATGCTCGGAAGAAGGATTTTTGTTCATGAGACATAATTTAAATTCAGTCAGAGAGAAACAATCAGGTTTTAAAATAATAGCTGCTAAGAACAAGTAATATTCTGGGACTAGGCAGACATAGTACAGATCAGCAACATTTCCCAGGACAGCAAATTTTATTTTTAAAATGGGGTTTAATCACTATAGTCACTGTTCCACTGAAGTACAAGTACTCAAGCAAAAGCCCTATAAAACTGCTCTACACCTAGTTGTCAATAGCATTTCATATCACTAATTCCAGGTTGGTTTATCTTGGCCACAGAACTTAGTCTCTATTCAATGAACAGCAAAATCAGTGCAACTTGTATCTCTCCATACAAACTTCACCCAGTGCTTGCCCCTCCCTACCCTGGGAATAGAGCAGGTTAGAGGAGCACGTTAGACGACCTGGGTATATCTGTGGATCATTTTTAGTCGGCTTGCAGATTCTAAGCTTCATTTGATTCTGGGCAACCTATACTTCTCTAGACAAAAATTCTCATTTCTACCGTAGCAATATTAAACTCTTAACAAGGGAAAGTCAGACCAGAAAGACTAACTTGCCAAAGGTCACACATCTGATGTGTAGCCTTGATTCATTCTACTACTACCCCAGATGTGTTTCTAGTATAGCGAGAACTAGAGAATGCAGAAAAATCTGCTGACCAACAATGGTTAGCCCACTCATCATGGGCCTGGGAATGTGCTTGGGAAATGATCCTTATCTTTTACCTAAGAAACTACATATCCTGATTTAAATATTCATAGACAAAAAAATGATAAAAAATACTGTTTTGTAGCACTAGGCTCTTATTACCAATAAAACTAGCTGAACTCATCCAGCCCATGCAGAAGAAAGGTAAACAGGAAATTAGGAACTTTAAAGTTTAGCTAAATCTGAGTTCAAATACAAGTGAGTATTGTAGAGCATCAAAAACCCCAGGTGGTAGAAGTGTAGAGCAGAATGAGCTGCTCAAGAGTAGACTGCTCTCCTTGGAGGGCGCCACTGTCTGGTGCGTTACAGCCGAGATTTCTTTTGTGTACAACTCAGACTAGATGACCACTTAAGTCCTTTCCAACTCTCAAAAATTCTCTGACTTTGAAAATAGTTAAAATTCCAGTAGAAGCTAACCATTTTATTAGTCATTGAGTAGGCTTGGTTGTCCACCAATACTGTGAAGGGGCGTGTGCCCCCTCCCCCTTTTCTAGAAATAGGCTCAACAATGTAAATTATTTTTACCTCTGCACTTCAATAGTTCCCATTGTTTCATATGCAAAATCACACTTGTTGTCGATTTCAATGGCCTTACTAATAAGCTCCAAGCCTTTTTCTAGGTCTTGCTTCCACTGAAGCTGAAGCAAACTGGAGAAGGGAAAGAAGGTTCAAAGTCAGTGAGGCATTTACTAAATTATAACCCCTCCCCATCCCTGGTCAGGGAAAGAAGGTATAAAATTTAGTCTTTACCCTCAGAAGATGTAATCTAGTTGGAGAAGGAAAAGTGATATAAAATGGTGCATACAAATTAATGACAAATTTTGTCACAGAGATTAAGTGCTACTAAAATAAAGAGCATGAATGGCAGAAACAGGAAAAGCTTCCTGGCAGGTGTGAGATTGGAGGCAGGCCCTAAAAACAGATCACATCTGATGAGGAAGGAGGCGGCTGGGTTTTCTGAGGGGTGGGGGGGGTGCGAAAAGCAGTGGTGGGGAGAGAAGCAAGAGGGCAAAGTAAAAAGGGTAAGGGTGGGAGTAGGGATGGAAGG